GTTACGTGAGAATATATGGGGGAGGAAAAAAAAGAAAGAAAACGTGGAGGGAGAAGTTATTACGAAAGATGGATGATTAAAAGAATGGAAAATTTGAGATGAGAGAGAAGTTGGATGGGCACTCACGGATGGAGGAAGAGAGAGAAGGGAGAAAACTTGAGGAGGGGGAGTTATTAGGAAAGATGGATAATTAAAGGAAAGGAGAAGGTGAGATAAGAGAAAAGAGGGATGGACATAAGATGACATGCATGAGCATGAGAGAAAAATATGGCGGGGACAGGGGATTTATTAAGAAAGATGGATGATTAAAAGAATGGAAAGAATGGGCGTGAGATGACATGCATGACATGAGAGATATGTGGGGAGAGAGTGACTTATTAATATGGTGGGACAGTGGCTCAAAAATAGAGAAGGTGTTGCTCTCGTTTAATATATAATAGAATATATAAATATACATACATATATGTAATGTAGTATGTAGTATATAGATATTTTTCATAAACCCTTATACATTTTGGGTAGTGATTTCATGCAACACTTGTATCATGATAGTATAATGCAACCACACTTCTAAAAAACCATGTTTGTAGTATTTGTATGAATCAAAATTTTGCCCCCAAGACAATCAGTGGCTCCAAGAAGTACTCAATTGACCGTCTAAGCCCACATTCATGCACCAAGTTCCTCCCGCCAACCAAAATCCCAGGCTTATATCTCAGTTTTGTCCCTGTAGTCAACAAACAAACATTAAAAACTCCAAAAAACCAGAAATCCCCAGTAACAGAAACTTATCATACTTATCAACATTACTCTCAACCCCATAACTTAGTAAGAGCCTAACATCCTAACTACATCTTCCCAGAATTATGAAATAAAAAAGAAACAAAAAACCTACTCCTAATTTCTGAAAGAGTATTACTGATTTTACCATTTATCAATTGCATTTATCCCTGTTATTAAAATAACTAAGATGGAAAAACCAAGCAAAAGCTCAAATTTTAAGCCAAAAAGTTTGAAATGAACTAACAAAGGTAATAGATGTACTACAATAGATTGACCAGTTTACAGAATTCGAAAGTCCCTTTGGTAATAACATTCCATTGATAAAAAGTAAACTAACAAACAACAAAAAATAAAAAACATAATCATAGCTCCATTTCTTGGATACTAAATTTTGCAGTAATAATCATTGCAGATGGTAATTGTGATGCTCAAAATATTTATCTAAGTTTTACATCAGTCGAAAGACAAAAGAAATGAACTCCAAATTAAGAGTAGAAAATTTCAAAAAAAAAAGAAAAGAAAAAGAAACTCACGACAACATAGCCCTAAATGCAACAGCGACCGACATCTAACCCCAACCCTGATAATTAGAATTGAAATGGAGACATTTAGACAAGGAAAGTACAACATGACATCCTTTGGCTATCCACCATCCATTCTCAACAATGGATGGAGAAAATTAAGGAAAGTTCTCAAGGACGGTAGTTGATCATCACTGTCCATCATCAATAATGGACAGTAGATTTCCCTATTGGGTACTGTATACCCTACTGGTAGATGGTATACTCTCCTATCACACAATTTTCAAGAAAAAATAGAAACTTAAATTTAAACAGAAGTTGATATCAGAATGTCATGAGTTTAATTACCAGTTTCATTGATTTCAACAGAGCAGTCATCGGAGATCTCTTCGATCAATCGGAGGAAGGAAACCTCATGTGGTTTGAGTCCTGGCGAAGAATCATCAGCTCGAATCTCTTTAATTACAATTGGAGTCACAGAGAGGGTGGATAAAAGAAGGCGAAGCCTGAATTGTCGGGAGCCTTTGATCCTTAAAAATGAGGTCTTCATAGCTCAAGAGCTGCTGTTTAACAATCTGAACAATAAAATTCAGGAAGAAATTGGAAAATATTTCAATTTTAAGGTTGAAAAACAAAAGAAATGGGTAACTTGAGAAATTCAGTAATTATCAATAAATCAGCCATGTATTATAAAATACAAATAAAGTGGTTCAAAAGCTACGGTTGCAAAAATATAACCAGAAAATTCATGAAAAATCGAAATTTATTTTTTGAATTTTATACTAAGAGGTAACAAAAGAGGCATTAAAGCAGAATCTCTCAAAAATATCAAAAAACCAAAAAAATTCAGTGACTAACATAAACAACAGTCTGATTACCATTAAAGACCAGCTTGGGATTCCAAAAGGCGCAGAAACTCAACGCTTCCAATCTAAATAAATTTTAATGCACATTTTTTTATTGGAAAAACGATCATTCAAAGCTCGCAATAACTCTCCATTAACAACAAAATTATACAGAAAAATATATTTTCTATCAATCGGAAGAATAAACTAATTTAGCGAAGCAAAAACAAATAACTTCAATAACTAAGACCTACGACGGATACGGAAGAATATGAAGCAGAAGAGAGAGAGAAAGAGAGAGAGAGAGAGAGAGAGAGAGAGAGAGAGTAGTACGGTACCGTAGTTAGTAAGGAAGAACGACTCGCACCTCGCGTACGGTGTGCGTGGTGGAGAGTGGTGGCGGGGGAGGGAGAGAGAGCAGCGTAGAGAGAGAGAGAGAGGGCGGGGTTTGGGGAGGGACAGGGACTCCAAGCGCTCCCGCGGGAGCATTTGTACATTTAATCCCTCGGCCTAAAGAGCTGGTAAAAAGGATTTTTTTTTTTTGAAAAACGTTTATATAAGGTTGAGGTCGGCACCATCAAACTAAGAAGCATCTTAAAAATTGACTAGAAGATGTTTTTTATGCTGAAAATTTATCAAATCCGATCATCTCGATCTTGAGATCCATAAAGGTCAAAAACATTGAACTTTAATTTTTATAAGTATTGCTTCTTGTATTGCATTGTCTAAACCGTCAATTTTTTTAAAAAAGTTGATATAAAACCTAGGCTCTAAAGTCTAAACAATCAAATTAGAGCTTATCTCAAAACTTTCATTAAAAGAGGTTGTTTTGATGCCCAAATATAATCAAATTGATCATCTTGATATCAAGATGCATGGACATGAAAAAAAAATGGATTGCAGGTTTTGGAAATAGTGCATCTTGTAACGCATTTTTGGACCATCAATTTTCAAGTTTTCATAGATATGCTCGAACTACTATTTTTTAAACTTTAAATTTTATTAAATAAAAATAAAAATATAATTTAAGGCTATCACAAAACTTTCTAGTATTGAAACCATATTTCTCGATACTATTTGAAGGTGGGCTCAAATTTGATCATTCAGAGCCTCAGCTCTATACAACCTGCACGCTTAAATTTTATAACCAAAGATAAAAATAAATTTGCAGGTCAACATAAAGATATTTGGTAATGAAACGACATCTTTTGACACTATTTGATGGTGCGCCTTATTTTGAGTGTTCAGGGCCTCATCCTTATACAAATCGGACCTCTTTTTTTAAATATACGAAATTATGATATGGAAAAAGGTATTCATATGAATATTTTCTTTAAAGTATTCAATATTTTTTTATATTTTTTGACACGTGATACCATTATCTACTATGTAATAACTTTTTTATCTAGAGGTATTTTAAATAATTAATTAAAGATAAAGTATAAATTCTTAATAGAAAGAAAAGTATTTATTAATTATAGTGGAGGATGACATCATTTGATATCATCACCACTTATAAAATGTCATTAATTTCTTATAAAAATATATATCTTACCCCTCCTAATACCGAAAAATACCTACTCAAAAAAATTTATATTACAAAACAAGGGATAATGAGTGTCAAAAAAGCTGATTATATATAGGAAATTCTAATTTATATGCACACCCTAACATAACCCAAAAAGAAAATAGAACTTAGCTTAAAAATAATCCTAAGATATCCTAAATTAAATAGAGCGGCCATATTATTTTTTTAGAGTTTCTAATAACTCAAGACCCTTTTATTATTTTTTATATTATTCATCCAATAATTCTTTTATCAGAGCAAGCGCGCGTGTGCACAGTAAGCTTGTGTAAGAGAACGCCACAAACTATATTTTTACAAATGAACAAATATCCTTAAAAGGAAAAGGAGTTCATTATTTAAAACAGGATGAATACATGGAATATATTATGGGATTATTTGATTACTTTCTCCTTTTCCTTTTGAGGATATTTGTTAATCTGTAATAATATAGTTTGTGGCGTTATCTTACACGAGCTTATTGTCGCACGCTCGCTTGCTCTGATAAAAGAATTATTGGATGAATAGGGTGCAGCTTGCATACGAACACCTCCGTAGGTGTAGAGGTACGATGTCCTTCAAATTTTATCGTAGTGTATAATTTTGATGTAAAATGTTATTAGGATTATCTCAAAATCTATTTTTATATATAATTATAAAATTTTAAATTTCGAAAATGGTTAAAATCAAATAGATCTATAAACATATGAAAATCTTGAAAATGGACAGTGTATATAATATGTTATAAAATACACTATTTTTTAGATTTAAAATCTTTTTATTTTTCATAGTCATAAATTTTGATGTCGAGATGATCAATTAGAGGGTTTTTCAACATTAAAACCATCTTTTTTGAAGGATTTGTGAGAAGCATCCCAAGTTCTACATTATAAGGTAGCATCTTTATATAAACTTTTTCTTTTAAATAAAAAGTACTTTAATCACACATCCCCAACTACGCCACGTCACATATTACCGTCAATAATAATTGTGGCTGTCTACACCAAATGTACGTGGTTTTATTGTATACATTTTCATATTACATTTCATGTTTTCATCGCATTTCATGCTATTATAACATGACTTAACGAAAAATGGATTAGTAGATCATAACTTCAGTGCTTTATGGGTACATAGAATCTAAAAATTGTAAAAGTGAATTAAAAATAAGGGATTGTCTACAAAAATATCATTTATCTTTCATACATGGAGGTCACAATCATTATTACTCATTAGATGTCAAATTGGATGGCTTGGGGTGAGTCGTGAAGTTCGATAAAAAAAAATTGAAACTTTTTGTCTGTTCAATGACACGTTTATAGCCACCCATTTTGTAATTTAAGGGACAAGAATGATTGTGGCCTCAATATACAAAAGATAAATAGTCTATTTGAAGACAATCCCTAAAAACAATGAAAAGTATTGAATCATAGTTGTTTATCCGTGTTTTCATACCCCGATCTAAAACCACAAATGGAATAGTCTAAGTCAATAAGCTAGGAGTCTATGTCGGCCTTGGCCAAGTATTTAAATCTTAAAAGGATGACAAAAAAAGTTGAGGAACTAGTATCCGAGTTCTCAAAGCTTTCCATTCTCACTCAACACCTCACGGGGTCAAATGTCATGGTTGAATCCGAATCAAACTCAAATTTAAGAAACACTAGCCTAAACTCAAGCTCGTGATGACTGAAGCAAGACTCAAACCATACATGTCAATACGGCTCTAGCGGGAAGGAAATACCCTAATAGGAAAGGAGTTATTCCCTTCCCTTGCAACATTTGGGCATTTGTATCAATATGAAAATGGGAAGAGCAGATCTCTTAATCATTCTCACTCATTAGATGTCAAATTGGATGGCTTGGGGTAAATCATGAAATCCAAAAAAAAAATTGTGTCTATTCAATAATACTCTTACAACCACCTATTTTGAAATTTAAAGGACAAAAATGATTGTGATCTCCATGTACAAAGATAAATAGTTTATATATATATATATATATATATATATATATACATTCTGAACCACATGATGAAGATCTGACAATTGGGATTCCACCTATATTACTATTCATTATAGCTCCTAAGTGTTTGAAAAATTTACTCATCTATTGGAAAAAGCTAACAAACACCTGCAGTTATAATGAATAGTAATATAGATGGAATCTCAGTCGTTAGATCTTTATCGAGTGGTGCAAAATACATATTACTATTTTAATTTTATTTATTTATTATAGATATGATTAAGATAAAATTTTGGATGTATATGCCTAACATTATTGCAAACCATATAAAAATAAAAAAGAATTATTTTCAATAATTTTAAATGACCAAATTACCCCTATCATTTTTCAAGGGTATTTCTATCATTTTATATTTTGAAAAATATTTTTTATATATTTTTTAATTGTGCGCCTTATTTTTTGATACCCACGTCTATCATTATGATCTGATTTCAAAAAAAAATATTAAAATTCATATAGTGATATGCATTCTGAACCACATGATGAAGATCTGATAGCTCGAATTCTACTTATATTACTATTCATTATAGCTATATGAGTAAACCTTCCAAACACTTGGCAGTTATAAATAAGTGTGTGGTATGCTTCTACAATATCATAGTACATTATGGGTTTCTTTTAGCCGTTGTTGATTGATAGATAAAGTCAGACATTTCAAAACTTGAATCGGTGGGTCGGATTCATCCACGTATCCATGTCGAATCGCTAGATTAGTGATTTAGATTGGGCATGGATGGGTATGAATTGTTGATCTAAAAAATATAATAAAAATAAATAAATAAGAATTAAAATTGGGTTTTATAGAATGGAGATTTAAAAGGTAACTAAAAAAATATTAGATAAGTTTAATATATATCTATATATATATATATGGGTGCAGTTTGTATAGAGCCTAGGCTCTAAACAATCAAATTAGAGCCTACCTTCAAATAGTGCCAAGAAATGTGGTTTCAATCCTGAAAATTTTTGTGATAGCCTTAAAATATATTTTCATCTTTATTTATAAAGTTTAAAGCTTCAAAAATAATGTACATTGACATATTTATGAAAACTTGAAAATCTTGAAAATTGACAGTCCAAAAATATGTTACAAAATATATTATTTCCAAACCTTGAAGTCCATTTTTTTTCTCTTGTCCATGCATCTTCATGTTGAGATGATCAATTTGAGGATATTTGGATATCAAAACAACCTCTTCTAGAATTTTGTGTGATAGGCTCCAATTTGATTGTTTAGAGCCTCGGCTCTATATAAACTTTTTCCTATATATATATATATATATATATGTGTGTGTGTGTGTGTGTGTGTACTTAGTTTAGG